ACCACAAAAACAAACTGTACTTTAGATAGAAATTTGCTATGTCTTTTTTTAAGAGCAACTTGGGGGACTGGAGAAATGGCTCAGTGTTTAAGAGCAATGGCTGCTCTTGCAGGGGACCTGGGTTCGATTCCTACCACCCATATGGCAACTAAAAACCGTCTTTAACTCCAGTTCCAGGGGAATTCAATGCCCTCTTCCGACTTCTGCAGGCATGCATGACATGAGCGCATTTATACACATGTAGATAATACAGTCATATACATATATAACAGCTTAGGGGCTGGTGAGATGGTTCAGCAAGTAGAGGCACTTGCTGCCGAGTCTGAAGACCTTAGTTCAATCCCCAGGACCCATATGATGGAAAGAGAGAACCAGACTTTGGTTTGGCATGTGTTAAATCTGTCACTCCACGGCCCACACACATACCATTTGATGTGCCACTAATACTAATCTTAGCACTGCATTCTACCTTCCTGATGGAATCACCAATTCCTTCTGCCATTTGCAGTTCCTTTCCTGATACTGTGTGACATAACCATGTTGTGACTATAATTCCTTAAAAACAGCTTCTGTGCTTGAATTCTGTCCCCCTACTACAGAACTTAAGCTTGCATTTAGTCCTTGGAAATACAGCTTCTTTTTGTAAATAAGCATAATGTATCATTATGTGTGGGCTCAGGGAAGGCAGTACTGTAGAGTACCATTTGTAGGCATACCATTACTTAGACCAGAGTTATATAAACAGAACAAGTGGCTTTTCTTTATTCCCACACAATGAGAAGGTTTGAGTGAGATTACTATGTGTACCCTTGCCTTTTCTCTATCATCTGCACCTTTAACACACTATCTTCTCCCATTTATTTTCCCCTTGTTCAATTTCTGAAGTGTTTATGTGTGTATGTATGTGTGTGGGTGTGCCGTGGCATGTGCATGGAGATCAGAGGACACTTAATAGGGGTTAGCTCTATCTTTCCACCATTTGGATCCCAGGAATCAAATTCAGGTCATCAGGTTTGGTGGCAAGTGCCCTTACCTGCTAAGCCATCTTGCTGGCCTAAAAACATTTTTAAACTTACTATGGGCTAACATGAGGCAAGATACAAATTCACATATTTTCAAATTACACACTTATAACCAGGGAGCGACGAGAAAGAGATGAGCTCATTCTCATCCAAATAACAACCTCAAAAACAGAGGCTGGCACAACATGGAGGACTAGAACCTGCTTCTGCAAGAGCCACTGAAGGAGAGATTCAAAAGAGAAAAAGATGAATTTTATTCCAAGGAGAACAGAGGAAAAGCTTCAGAAATCCACAAGGAAAATGAAAGGGTATTGGGAAAGCAAGGCAATAAAGACGCCAACACACAGAGGAAGCCAAAAGTCAAGTCACAGCCTTAGTTCCCTGGCTGGGGAGGAAACTCAGAAGGGGGTCCAAAGATAAGGTGGATGACAGCCTTGCAGTCCTACTCTCAAATAACCGCAACTTCAAATCAGTGAGCCTAAAAATCCAGTTGCAGGATTTTGGTAAGGTGGTGATTCCTCCCCCGAGTTGGGTTAGTGGAGAGAAATTGTATTTTGTCATGCTATATGACTTGAAGGGCAGTGACCGGGCACCATCTTGAGACTCTATTACTGAAAACTGAGGTATCCTGGGGGCTTGAGATCAAGAACCACCTACAGGTCAGGGAGTCTCAATTAGACATCCCACAACTCCTGAGAAGCACAGAGAGGCAGTTGTGGAGAGCAGGAAAGAGGGACACTGATGGGCAAAGGGTACAGGAGGCTCAGATGAGAATAGAAAATGCTAACGGAGAGAGAGAGAGAGAGCCCTGTCCCTGATAGCCAGAGACTGACCTCATCAGTTGAGAATTAACCTGGAGTTTGAGAGCTGAGTCTGAGGTCAGAGGGTGGCATCTAATTCTGGAGCCACCCACCTGTCATTCTAAAGTTCTGCTGCCAGTTTGGGATGCTGCCTGACCCCTAGCACACAGGTGCAGTGAGCTAACCATGAGGAAATATATCCCTAGGTACTTGTTTTTGAGGAGTGTGCCCCTTTAGTGGTATTCTCAATTTAAGTTCTCTCTTTTCAAGTGAATTTGTATTTCCACATGATGGAGGTAGGCTGGAGACCTGCCCTGGGGGTATCTTTCCTATTGTTCCAATGCAGTGCCCAGATTTCTCTTTGATAGTCCTAAGTCTAATAATGACAGCTCTTTTTTCAAGCATCAGCCCTATCTGCAAATTTAAACTCCCTCCTTTTGCCAACAAATGACAGTTTCTGGTATCACTGTACTCCACTTGCTCTTTCTCACTGTAGACCTGGGTAAGAGTACTGAGCAGTAACCATTACGCAGCCTGAATGCTATCCTGTCAAGATTTCCTCTGCCAATCAGTTCATTCTGAATTTAGCTTCACTCAATTTCACGTGAGGGACATGGGCAGAGTGCAGCCAGCTTCTCTGCCAGAATGTAACACAAATAACCTCTAGTACTCAGCTCCCAATAGAGTTCTTCCTAGATTTTTCCAGTTTTTTTTAATGTAAATTTTCAAAGTACTCCCTACTGATGCTTAGTGTTTCACTGCAAACGGGCAATCTCCCTTAATCTCCCATTTTCCACCCCCCAACTTTGTGTCTTCTCTTCTTTTGGTTAGCTTGGCTAGGAGTCTGTCCATCTTATTTATTTTTGCAAAGAACCAACTTGGTTTGGTAGAACTCAGAAGTGAATTCATCTGGAATTGGAAAGCTCTTTTTGTTGGAAGGCTTTTTATTACTGCTTCAACCTCACTGAATATTATGGATCTGTTTAAGTTCTTTATATCCTCTTAATTTAATGTTGATAGGCCATATATGCCTACTAACCCTGTAAAGAAGAGTGAACACCAACAATCCTCAAACAATTCTACAATATAGAAAGAGAAGGATCATTGCCAAATTCATTCTATGAAACCAACATTTTCCTGTTGCCAAAATGGGTAAATTATTGACTAATAATATAGACTAAATTCCTTGATGAACATAGGTACAAAAATTCTCAATAAAATTCTTGCAAATCAAATTCAGGAATACATTATAATACATAACTAAATTTGTTTCATTCTTTAGAGGCAAGGTTGGTTCAACATACACAAATCAGTGTTATTCAGCACATAAAGAGACTTAACAAAACCACATGGTTATTTGAATCAGCCTGCAGTCAGATGACTTTCACCCTTATCATGTAGAGTTGAGAACTAATGCTCATGCAAAGTAAGATGGCTAATAACAGGCCATCCTCTCACTCTACTATTTTGGACTGTTGTTCCTTCAAGGAATGCACTTTTCTGCTCCTGAAAGCACAGTCCACAGCTTGGTTTTAACCTTCCTAAGGAAGTGACTGCCCTAACCAGGTCAATGTCCTCCCTGAACATTAGCTGCTTTCAACACACCCTGTATCACATTAAGAGCTTGGCACAGCTGTGATTTTATCTGCATCTGCTTTTCTCACTAGATTGTTCTAAGGTCCCACCATGCTGAGTTCTAGCATCCTTTTAGCAGTACTTAAGCTTAAGTGGGCCACAGCTGCTTTTTGTTGCCTGCAAACAAAAAATTATGATTCAGATATCAGTACCAAAACACTATGGAATGCAATAGTGCCTCTGAGAAATGCTGGCATATTTTTTAAAGAACTGTTAAACAGTGTTTAAAAACAAACATATTCTCTTGCATGAAGTTGAAAAAAGAATCCAAAGACTTCAGAGGCCAGTGTGTTGCATAAGATCCACTGAAAGCATCCTTCTCACCTACCCATCATACTAATACAACATAGTGCAGAAGAATCTCCCTTTACCCTTTCCATGACAATTTGATTAGTGACAGGATCAGTGGAGCCTTTAAACTGTGCCTTACTGGCTGCTGTCATTAAAATGGAAAGGCTGGTAGAAGAAACTGTAATGGGACAAGTCAGTGAAATTTCTGTTCAGATTTCAAGATATTAAGGCAAAAACTTCATGGCATGGAATGGTATACTACAGCTAATCTCCCTTCTGTGTTTACCTTGTGCTAATTTCTAGGGTACTAGGGCAGAAGAACTGTACAAAGGCACCAATGTTAGCTAGCTTTCTGCCACCGCAACAAAATACTTTGGCATAATTAACTTATAAAGAAGAAACGTTTATGGTGCATTTTGGCTGCTTTAGAGGTTCCAATCCATGAGAAGGGGGCCCCATTGATTTGGTTTATTGCAAAGAAGCACTGTCATGGTCGAACCACAACTGTTAGCTTCATGGCCAAGAAGGGGAAAAAAAGGAGTGTTAGAGCTCATAATCACCTTGAAGGGCACACCCTAAATGACCAAAAGACCTCCCACTATGTCCTACCTTTTCAATAGTCCACCACCTAACAGCACCTTCTACCCACCTCCCCCATACTGCAGCGCAGAAGATTCTCATTTACCCCTGCCAAAAAGACTGGTGGAGAGTGCAAAGGAACCACTTAAATATGCTATACTGGCTGTCCTTACTAAGATGAGAAACGTCAAATAAAAATGGGCTCCCTGGAAGTAGGGATATAACTAAATATTAAAGGTATGTTTAACATGCACAGAGTCCTGGGTTTAGTTTCAGGGAGAGAGGGAGGGAAGGAGGAAGGACAGAGAGAATATGAAGGAGAATGAATATATATGACTGTATGAAAGAGAATGAATTGCTTCCCCAGGGTTAGGAGGTACTCCAAGGAATAAGACTTTGACAACCAGACCAACAGAAGAAACTGGAAAGTGTACCTAATGGGATTTTAGAATGCCCTTTCCAAAGGATATTTTAACTAGGCTCCTCTTAATTATAATGCTCACTCAGCAAGACCATGGATGCCCCCATCCCATGGCCTACATTAAGATAAAAGATAGTTATTATTGTTTTCATACTAATTATGCTATTGGACATGCAAGACATTGTATGTAAACCCTCAGTTAAGCTCGAGAAATAAGACAATCTCCAGTTGCTTCCTACCTAGAATACATACCTAGAGCTATATTCCTTTGCAATTGTCAATGCAATTTTGTTTCCAAGTCGTGTATCACTTAAAAAAAAAAAAAAGACAATCATATCATACAAGACAGTATAATAAATATACTATTTGAAAATGACACACTATAAGATCTTAACATTTACAATGGTTAAAATAACATTACCAAGCCAGGGGTGGTGACACACATCTGTAACCCCAGTACTCCAGATGGAGAAGCAGACAGATTTCTATGAGTTCAAGGTCAGCCTGGTCTAGATAGCAACTTCCAGGTCAGCTACGGTTACAGAGACCCTGTCTCAAAAAGCCAATAAATAAATAAATAAATAAATCCCCAAGAATATCAGTAAAAAAAAGAGCAGGATTTTGGTGTTATATATTGTTACACGATCTTTATTCATGTCCTCTATCATTCTACAACACCCCTTCAACTAGTATTAGTTGAGGATTTATTGTGTGCTGAATGTAATAGCAAACAGAAGAAAGTTCTGGCATAGTGAAAGAAAGCTGAGGAGAGTAGCACAGGAATAAAAATACTTGACTTCCTGCTATTTCAAACTCCGAGTACAGTGTCTACAAGATAGAGATGCTCATTTGTAGACACCTTACAGTTCTCCAACAAACAAGTGCTTTTGCTCTCCACTGCAAGCATGCTTTAGTTTTCTTTATAGCAACAGTATTTTTCTGACTCGGGTACCTCTCTACACTGTTCTCCCAAGCATTCTTAACCTAGACTCATTAACTCTTGGCCAGCATCTTTTTAAGATTTTATTTTTATTTCAGGTTTATGAAGTTTTTGCCTGCATATACGAATGCACACATATGTATGTGCCTGCCTGATGACCACGGAGGCCAGAAAAGGGTGTTGGATCCCCTGGAACTGGAGTTACAGACAGTTGTTAGCCACCACGTGGGTGCTGGGAACCAAACCCTAGTCCTCTGCAAAAGCAAGTGCTTTTAACCACTGGACCATCCCTGTGGCCCACTGAGTGCCTTTTTACCACCTCTGTACTGACTCATTAACTTCTCCCTTCCTAGGTCAACCATTACCATACATACTATTTTGTTTCTGGCCACTACCATCTTTTATGTAGATGACTTTAACAGTCTTTGAATTGGCCTGTCTGGAATCCAATCTTATGCAGCCAGAATGTTCTTTCTTTCTACAAGCGAATTCTAAGTAGATCCTTTCATGGTAAAAGACTTCAATAGTTCTCTATTGCCCTAGGAGAAAGTCTAAATTCATCAACATGACTCTCTAGTAGCAACTGCCAATGTTTTATTAGCTAATACTTTTTCTTTTCTTTTTCGGGGTTTTTTTTTTTTTTTTGGTCTTTTTGAGACAGGGTCTCCCTGTAGCTCCAGCTGGCCTCAAACTCACAGCAATTCTGCCTCTGCCTCCCAAATGCTGGGATTAAAGGCTTGCAACGCCATGCCCGGCCTTACCTAATCACTTTTCATTCCCTTTTTTGTTATTCTGGTGTCTTTTGCTCAAATATTTCAGCTGTGTTACTACTATAAACCGCAGGAAAACAGAACAATGCAGCTTTTGAGTCTGGGCAGAAATACTGAAAAGTGAACAGCACCACCTTGTGGCCACTATGGTGTTGGGCGACAAGGGAAAGGTGACAGAGCAGGTGACTGAATCTTGAGCCTTCAGTGTTCATGGCCATCTGCCTCCATTGCTCCCTGCCCTTTTAGGAATGCAAAACTAGTTTTCTGGAGCAAGGTAGTATGTTTCTTACTGCCTTAAATTTCCATTTTGTTACACAAATTTTCAAATGTGGATTTAAAAAATTGGCCCAAGTATCATGCTCATAACCTGAAATCTTAACCCACAATTTTGAGGGACTTCTGAAGGGAGGTCAGCAACATGGTCTGACTATCATACTCTGATGAGTTAACCATCCTGAACAGTTTCCTAGAGATTTCTCCCTTATTTTCAGCCACTGGTCAGTAGCTTCTGAGGACCACCTCTTTTCTTGAGACATACATGATCTGTGTGACTCAAAAACATCCATTCAATATCAAGGAGGTTAAGGCACTGAGGCTCTGAAGTGGTCACATCGATTCTTAAATTTATTGCATCTTGTGGAAAAATTTTATGTTGTACAAGTACTCACAGATTTTGGAATTCAGATTTCAAATTCTTACATGTCTGAGTATGTGTGTGTCTAGCTCTTCAATGAGATTAAGAAACTATGAAGAGTGCCTGGGCTGATGGCTCAGCTTTTAAGTACTTTCTGTACAGCACAAAGACCTGGGTTCAGATCCCCAGAAGCCCTGTAAAAGGCCAAGAGTGGTATCAGGCACCTGTAATCCCAATGTTGGGGAGATGGAGACAGGAAGATCTGTGGGACTTACTAGCCAACCTATCTAGCAAAATCTGTGAGCCCCAGGTTCAGTGAGAAATCATGACTCAAAAAATATGGTAGTGAGCTGGGCGTGGTGGCAGATGCCTTTAGTCCCAGCACTCAGGAGGCAGAGGCAGGTAGATCTCTGTGAGTTTAACACCAGCCTGGTCTACACAGTGAGTTCCAGGCCAGCTGGGGCTACAGGGAGACCCCGTATCAAAAAAAAAAAAAACCAACCTAAAAAATAGTAAGTGGCAACAGACGGAAGATACCTAATGTCAATCATTAGTCTTCACACATTTATGCACATATGCATGCATACACATACACATACACACACAGAAAACTATGATAAATACTGGATCAATTTGGCTTTCCTAAGTATAGGAGGTATTAGACAAGTTTTTACTAAAAAACCACTAGAGCTGGGCAAAATTACAGGTACCTTCCACTCTCTGAATTCTCATCATTTGATTGCAAACAACTTTTCTCCAAATTTGTCCTTAATGGAGGCCCAGTACAATGAATTCACATGCATCCCCACTAGCATATGCATATATAAGTGTATGCATCTGAAGGTCAACTCCAAAGCAACAGCCTCCCTAGACTCTTTTATCAGCTATGTATGTATATACAAGTAAGTTCTATACATTTGCTTGTTTGTCTAGCTTTCTACTAATTGTTTCCCTAAAGGAACCCTGACTGCAGTAGGTCCTCCCCTTACCCACTCTGGGCTGGCCTTTAGAATTTTGTTCACATATTGACACAGAAGCAAGAGGACCCAGTTCTGAATCTAGGCCTCAAGAAGCCATCTACAATCTCTTGTGAAACCCTGGAATCACCATATGAACAATCCTGGATTATTATATCAGATGAGACTCCTACACAGAGGAGAGTCCAACTGTATCAAGCAAGATAACAGCCAGCTGTCCCGCCAAAAAACGAACAAGACCAGTCAAAATCCGCAAAGCTACCTGTCCAGTACCCAGCTGACCAGAGGAACAATGAGCTGAGACAGACCTACCAAGCTAGACTACAGTGTACTTCCAGTGCAGTAGACTTCAACTATGGATTGTCCTAGGCCACAAGATTTGAGATGTTTTATTCCCCACAATAGCAGCTAACTGGTATGATACATCAGCATATTAAAATTTCCTTCTTTTCCTGTGAAGTATATTATCCAAGTAGAAAAGCATATAAATCACTTGTAAATTTATCAAGTAATTAGAAAGTTTACATATGTAATTGCTACTGAGATCAAGAGAAAGCACCACTAGCCCTTAAGAGGCACCCCACATTTCTTTACCATGGGATTTCTCACTTATTACCCCATCTTTTTCTATTCTTTTATTAAGATAATCACTCTCTCGGGTTGGTTTTGTTGTTCTGTTTAATAGTTTCTCCACAGTTTAGAGAATGGCTTATTTTGCCTGCTGTCAGCCTTTGTATTTTATATCTCGGCTCCTTATACTGTAGGTCATGATCCCAGATGGGGTCGTATATTGAATGCGGGACCACAAAATATTCAGCAATAGTAAAGGGTTTCTGACGGGGCAGTGGTCAAAAACTAATTAAAACCAATGTGTAACGAATCCAAGGTGCTTCTGGTAGTGCTCGCCCATGATGCATCACATCATTGCAGTCTCGGATCTGAACACAAAGGCATGCTATCACACCATGCAAAGCCAACTAATGTGCCCTAAACATCTCGGCTCAGATTCCAGACTACTGCATGCTACGAACTGTAGTGTTTTTACTGTATATACAAAGTTTTCTGCTTTTATAGAAACATAATAGCTTAGTTACCAAACCCAAGACTTTTAATATTTTCCCATTGTTATTTCCTCATCATCTAAGTATCAAATTAGTTATCTTTGAATAACTCATTTAAAATAACAAGTTCATTAAATGTAGCATTCATGTTCTTAGGATCCTATAGCCAATAATTACAAACTAAGTGGCATAAAGCAACAGAAACTTACTGACCATATAGGCCAGAAACCTGAAATGAAAGTGTTGATTCATTCTGTCTGGGCACTTTGAAGGAGAAGCTAAGTCCCTTTCCAAGCTCCTCATGGCTATGGACAAACTTTTGATCTGTGACTTGTACACACATCACTCCAATTTGTGCCTAGGCCTGCATGTTCTGTGACGTGTCTTTAATCTTTTTTTTATCAGGACATTAGTTATTTTATTTAGGGCGCACCTTGGAGAGATCCTTAATTTCACTACATGCACAAAACTCCTACTTCCAAATAAAGTGTTATTCACAGGGATGGCAATAAGGGTTTGGTTATGTTTTTGAAATTACACAGTTCAACTCATTACATGTTTACATAGGTAACGCATTTTAAAATGAAGGCTAACTGCATTTTCCAAATAAATACAGTTGTGGCATTACTATGCCAACATTACAACTGCCTGAACAAAAAAGTATGACTCAGAAATTTAGGTTTTAAGAGTGGGCCCAAACTCAGAGGGCATTCATTCCCCCACATCTGTCTCCTGGAACTGTGCTCCAGAGACAGGCCTCACTCACATTTTTACTCCAACCAGTTTCTCCAGCTTCATAGGGAAAGTACCAGTTTGGCTCCACCCTTAAGAGACCATTATACCTTTTCATCCTAGTTCTAGAATATTACATTCACCCAAGGTCAAGAGTCTTTCCCAATCTGCACTGTGTGTAAGGCAGATGGGTGCACCCTCTTTCAGAGCTTTGATGTGTGAATTCTCATTATCTTTTTGGGTGGAGAACCAAATTGAGGTTGCCAAGAAAAACGCCCCAAGATGCAAGGTTCACTGAGTTTGCCAAGGTTAATTAAAAGTCATTAGTCCAGATTTGTTCATTTATAAGTCATCCCTACAAACTGTGAGAGGAATGACACTTCCTTCTATTTTTAGAAATCTCCCTCATATCCAGATTCAAAGAAGAACCTAGGTGTTCACCTCCTTCAATCTGTTATGATACACTGTTTTGGCTAAAATATATTACAAAAACTCCAACCTCAGAGACAGTACAGATGCCCTGATTTCAGAAGCCTCCAGGGGTCAGAAGGCATGAGCAGCACTGCTCTAAAGCGTATGTTCTCAAGTGCTCTAAAGCGTATGTTCTCAAGTGCATGTAATAGTATAAAATAAATGAAAAGGAAAATTTCCAGGTCACATGTATATCTAATTCTTCTACTTTATTACACAGTGGCAACCTTCTTCCAAAGTTACATCATGCACTTCTATTAGCAGTGTGGACGAGATCTTGTTACTCTACATGCTCAACAATATCTGTCATTGTCACAGTTTTAAATGCTTGCCTGTTTGATGATATTTAATGTACTGTGCTATAATTTTAAACTTATTCTTTTCTGTTTATTTGGGCTGCCATCTTATGAAGAAATGAAGCTGGTTTTGCTTGATTTATTTATTTCTCACGCAGTGTGAAGGACTAAATCCAGGGCCTTGGGCACAACACACAAGTGCTCTATCACTGAGTTGCACCCCCTCCCCAGTTTTGTTTCAAACAGCACTGTTACTTGCCCAAAACCATAGCTAACAAAACCTACATTTTCTACTTTCAGTCCTAAGTCCTATTTCCACTTACCAACAAAATAATGCTTCTGATTCTGGCCTGGTTTTCAGGAAAGCACAATCTCCTGAATCTGAAAGAAATTAAAGGCTTTGAGTCGAGGCCTCCGTTCCCTGATAAGCAAGCAAGGTACCTGAGGAATACTGATGGCACACTTCATCTTCTTCTTGGTCTAGGGACTCCACTAGCCAGCAGGGTTCTCTTTCCAGCCAAATATTTCAAACCATTTCAGGTAAGACCAAGGCAGGACTGGACACCTCATCCCTCCCTCTACGTTTGAAACCATAAACTTACCAGACTTTTCTTCATTTAAGTTGACCAATCCAAAATTGGAGGCGACGAAACCACTAAATATTTTTAAATGGGGGGGGGTGACCTTGGAGTCTCAGTTCCACTTGTGATTCTTTATCTTTAAATATAAGTTTCCTCGTTTCTTGCTCTCTGCTGGTCTTAGATTCCCCGCCCCCCACCCCACCTTTTAGTTCTTTAATTGGGCTGGAACACCAACCCAACCTCTAGACACTACTCATCCAAGATTCCTAGACTGACAACATGGCTACAACACCCCTCTAGACTCATCCTCTGTCGCCTGGAGCCCACCCTTACCATCTACTTAAAAACAATACAAAAATAATACCTGATTCGTGCTACATACATAGGAAAATGTATAATGTCCTGTATGAGACGCCATGTTGATAAGCACATAATTTGAAAAAAAAAAAAAACCTTAACTCCCTCATCAATAAAATATACATAATACCCAGGTAGCAGTGTTGATGTTGAATGACTAAACTAATGATAAGGGCACTCGATGTTTATTTTTAAGTAATAAAGCTTATCTAGTGCTTACCACGTGACAGCCACTCTTCTAGGTGCTCTTTCCAGATCATGAACCCATGTAATAATCCATAGTTATTCCAGGTAGTACAATTACTGTTTTACAGCTGCGGAGACTGGGGCAGGGAATTTCATCCGCCCGCCCAAGGTCAGTGGGCCAGGAAATAGGTCAGGGATTACAAATTCTGCTCTCGTTTTCTGCTCGGGGACCTGCGCTTCTGGCCCAGGCTGCCTCCTCCAAATAGTACTGTTCATGGGAAAACTCCCTGCAACCTTCAAAGCGCCCTTCCACGCGGGATTAGTGCCCTCAGGCCTGCAGCGCTGCCCTAAACTCGGTACTCACACTGATGAAAACCGGAGGAACCTTTGTGCCGTCGAGGCCCGCCCAGCACCACAACGACCACCCCGCCTAGGCAACGGCCGGGCACGCCCCTTCCCGTGACTCTCGGACACTGGGTTCACACAGGCCCCGCCCGCGTCCGCCGTAGGGCCCACTCACCGGCGAGGCCTCACGAGCTTCCACGTACTCACTCCAACGCCTCACGCCCCCGCTCAGTACCACTTCCGGGTCGCTGGCGCCCAGGCGTCGGTTCCGCCCCTTTCTCCTAACCCCTGGCTGCACTTCCGGCCAGCGAGGCCTCTTCCGCCGCTTGTCTGCCGGGTCAGCCTCAGCCTCTCAGTTCGTCCCCGAGCGGTGCCGGCCCCTCCGCGCATCTCCCCGGAAGCCCGCGGCCCGCTACTGGTAGCACGCCTCCCTGGGGTTCAGGGCGGCGGTGCCGAACGCTCTCGAAGGGCGGCGGGGGCCGAGGCCTGCCGCGCGCATCGAGTCCGCGCAGCTCCGTTGAGGCCGCCTTGGGTCGGAATGCCGCGGCCTGGGTGGGCGCCGCGCTGGGCGGCCGCCGTGGGCCCTTGGGGCTGTGGGCTGCTGGCGCTGCTGCTGCTGCTGCTGCTGCCGCTGCCGGGCCCGAGCGGCGCCTCCGAGATCACCTTCGAGCTGCCCGACAATGCCAAGCAGTGCTTCTACGAGGACATCGTTCAGGGCACCAAGTGTACCCTCGAGTTCCAGGTACCGCGGGCCCAGCACGCCCGCGTCACCGGCGGGCGCGCCTCCCATCTGTCCCTGTTGTCACCTCTAGGTAGCCGATACAGGACATTTGCGTGGAGCAAAAGACATTAAAACCCGGATTTTAACATGTATATGACTTCTAGAAATGCTTCCTGTAGCTGTGACATCCTCGAGTGTCATTCAGTTCAAGTTTAAGACTTGCTCAACGTTTCTTTTTTTAAAAGATGATGAGTTTTAAGTTACTACCCAGTCATGCCTGGTGTCAGTCCCCTACCACTCTAACCCACACCCCCACTTTAATCGGATGTGAAGCGCTGCCAGTGTTTGACTCCTTGATCTCTTCGGGGTTTTTAAATTTTATTTGGTGACTCTATTAGAACTCTTGGTTATTGGAGTCTGTGTCATTGGAAGAGCTTTATTAGGGATATTAATAAAGATCTACTGTTAAGGATGTTGTAGAAAATTTTGTGATAAGAAGCCTTCTTCTCAACTTTGAGGCTAGGTAAAAAAGAAACTTTATTCATCAGAGTGTGATTTCTTCAGTTGGCTAGAACTCTTTGAATAGACTCATGTAATCTGCCAACTATTGTGTGCTAGGTGCTGATGATATAGAAATGTTTGGAACGGATAAGGTTGCCACCATCATTCCTGAGTCCCCTCCTATCCTATCTTAAGAAATTAGTACCAACTGATTCATCAAAACTGTACTTAAAGGCAGTAAATAGAGGGTATGTGATCAGATCTTTGGGATCCTTAAATGCTTCCTTTAAAACTGAACTTTATAAAGGATGAATTGTAAATACTTTGGTAAGGGTGTTGGGGAATAGCCTGTGGTAGGAGTAAACACTGAGAATTTGAGGCCCAGTGTAGTTGGGAAGAAGGAGCCAAACCATGTTGTAGAGTCTTGCTGGCCATGTTAAGAAGTTGAGTTTTCCCCTAGAGTTTGGGAAGCCATCAGATTGTTTTTAAATAGTTCAATGACATGACCAGAATATTTCTTGGTAGCTGCATTGATTCTAAGGTGTGCAGGTAGAAAAGGTGGGTGGAACCTGTGTGGAAGGCTGATGAGACTTTTACGATGTTCAGAAGTGGTAATAACGTCAGTGGAAAGGAGAAAAAATGAGGACTTTGGAATGACTTTGGTGCAGTGAGGGAGGAGCGAGGGAATTAAGATTATGTGTTCTATATAATCTAGCAATATATGTAATATAAAGGAATTGTATAAGCTGTAAGTCGGAATTTCCTTTGTTCAAATTCAATAAGCATTTCTTGAATTCTTGTGTTATGTAGATGCTATGCTTCGTACTATAGTAGGTTTAAAAGTGACATCCATTGTGTGTACACAGTATGCTAAATGTGTCAGATATGCTAATTCTCAAGAAAACTTGATAGGAAGTAGGTAAAAGCTTTTACTAACTTCTTACTGATGAAACTGAAGCTGAGATAGGTTTAGATCCAAGATTACCAAACTTACAAATGCTGGTATCAATAGAGTCTCAAGTTGAACTTTTTGTTGTACTAGCTCCCTTTGAATAGACACAGAGTCATACATAAGTGCGCACTAGGTAGAATGCTGGCAGGCACAGAGGAATTGTCAAGGGAAATTCAGAAGCACAGCAGAGTTTGAGTTAAGCCTGCCTGAAAGGATCATTAGGGTTTGATCAATAATAGCAGAGAAAGGAGGAAAGACTAAGCTAGACACATAAGTTTGTGAGAGTTCCAACAGGCCAGAAATTATCCTGAGCTCTTGTGGTAGTTTGGCCCTGAAATACTGAGTAACAATAATGTTGCTTTGTGACTATGGCAGCTGAGAGCTTTAGAAAGTGGTTTGGACCAGTTTGTCAAAAATTTTTTTTTTCCTGTAACAAGTTTTGTTGACCTCATTGAGGATCCCTCACATTCCCACACCTGCCCTAGGTATCTGCTGTTGAGACTAGTTAAATATGTCTGTATGACTAGAAAAAAAAAAAGATTAACCCAGGCAACACTACTGGATTCCCTGGTTCCACGGTGTTCCTTGTACACTTGGATGGTTCTGATCTGAGTAAGTGTGTCTGGCTCAGGCTTCAAAAGGAGTCAGACAAAGAAGTCCCATAACCTGGTATATCCAGACCTCTTGCTGTGAGATAGCCTTTGGCAATGATGTTTTGTATTGTATTTTCCTATGATAAAATACCTGTGTGAACATTGCCTGTCAGGTCCTGTGATTCTTCTTTAGCAAACAACCCTGTTGAACTCCCATTCTCAGTACAAGTATAAAGCAGAAACTTTCAGAGAGCTGTAAAGTCTCCTGGTGTTTTTGGAATATGGAATGATAATAGTAATGAACAAGATGTGCTGAGTCTTAGGAGATATGGGAGAATAACATGCCAATGATAACAGATTTGGGCCTTTGATAGTCATTGTGAGTTATCAAAAACATTTTAAATGAAGGATGAAGCAAGACAGGGAGGTTCCCCCCCACAAGGAGAAATTGCAGGTTGTGGGGTACTGCTACTGGCATCTAATTCATTGAGATAGCAGGGATGCTCCACTATTAAACACAGTGCAGTGCACAGGACAGCACAGCCCCTTGTGGTAATGAATTATCCAGTTTATAATGGGAGTGATAGCAGGTTGGGAGAGCCTGGACTAGAAGAGATTAGGTTTGGAGAAGACCTTTTAAGAAATGGTGCCAGTAGTATACTATGTGTTAGTAATGGAAAAAATAGGATGAATTTGAGAGAGAAACAGTAAGATACAGAGATTTCTGCAAGCATTTGAACAGTAGTAACGCTGAGTTTGAAGTATTACCCAGTTGCCGTCATAGGTGACTGAACAGGCTTAGAAAGGACACCATTAACTAAAATAAGATTGTTTGTCTTAAAATTTGATACAACAAAAGGGCCTGGTGATCCATTCTGGTCCTGTTGAGTTTGTATGTTTAATTATTCAGAGTACTATGGTCAAATATGAATAGTTAGGTATATCAAAATTAAATGAAGGCATTTACTCTTAGAGGAAAAGTTACTGATTTTTAGGGAGAAGGGTAAATGCCCAATTGATAAGAAACTTTTTTAAAATTATAGCATCAAATTGTTTTATCTGGTGGTTTCTCCCACCTATTTCCTGAAACTAAATTGGTAGGATCACAAATTTGTAGTCATCCTGGTCAATTTACCAAGATCTTGTCCAAAAAGAAAATCAAAACCAGGCTAGGGATGTAGCTCAGTGATTGAATGCTTGCCTAGCATATGTAAGGACCCAGGTTTAATCCCCAGTAATTATTTGTGTGTGTGTACGTGTACATGTATATACAGTTTTCCAAGTATGAAATATTTCATGTAATTATTGAAATTATCTTACAACATAGTTCCATTAGTAATCACCTCTCAAGTGACAAAAGGCCATTTAAGTAATAGAATTTTCTTTGAAGTCTGAACTTTGGCCTCCTTGTTCTACTAGTGTACAAGGTCAATATTATGTTAACCAAGAAAATTAAAGCCTGAAAATAACAGGCTGGTACCCCATGGTGGTTTAGGAATTTTCAAACCTGGTATTTCTTCCTCATCACCTCTTTCTAGACTATATTAACCAGGGCACAGTTGTCAGAATGGTTTGATATGATTGAGTTTTCTTTCTTCTATTAGAAGAAAATTTCTTTTTTGGAGGGGTGTTCGTTTTTTGAGACAGCGTCTCCCTGTAGCCACAGCTAGCCTGGATTCACTATGGAGACCAGACCGGCCTCAGACTAACAGAGATCTGCCTGACTCTGCCTCCTGAAAGAAGGAAATTTCTTTACGTTCTATAAAGCTTCAATTGAATTGAAATCTTAACTCCCATGTTTCATCCACTGATGAAAATAAAAATCTGTAAAGTAGTGATAGGAAGACATATAATCTTATTGTCATTTTAACAAGAAACTGTTAAAATGTGTTATTTGCAGTGATCTCTTCCAAAAATCTCTCTTACAGGTGATTACTGGTGGTCACTATGATGTAGACTGTCGATTGGAAGATCCTGATGGTAAAGTTTTATACAAAGAGATGAAGAAACAGTATGATAGCTTTACCTTCACAGCCTCCAAAAATGGGACATACAAATTTTGCTTCAGCAATGAGTTTTCTACCTTCACCCATAAAACAGTGTATTTTGATTTTCAAGTTGGAGAAGACCCACCTTTGTTTCCCAGTGAGAACCGTGTCAGTGCCCTTACTCAGGTAAATAAAAAATGAGCAGAATAGCATTGATATATTTAAAGGGAAGAAAAAAAGCATAATTTAATGTTGTGTATTAACACATGGATGAACGTGGAATTTTGAGACCGTCTTTAAAAAATATTTTTATTGTCTTTGAGAATTTCATGTAGTATATTTTGCTCACTTTCAGTCCCCCTCCCCTTCTCTACCCCCACCCTACTACACTTACTTCATGTCCTCTATTAAAAGTTTTTTCTTTTTTTAATATTTTATTTATTTAGTTTTTATGTGTGTGAGTGTTATGCCTGCATGTAGGTAAGTGCACCTCTGTTGTGCAGTGCCCATGGAGGACAGAAGAGGCTTTTGGATCCCCTGGAACTGGAGTTACGGACAGTTGTTAGCTGCCATGTGGGTGCTGGAATTCAAACCCTGGTCTTCTGCAAGAACAGTTAGTGTTTTTAACTGCTGAGCCATCTCTCCAGCCCATTTTTCTTTTTTAAAAGGCCTATTGAGTCTAATCTATATTCCCCAAATGTTCTTAGGTGTGGGTCTATCCCTTGGAGTCACACTCATCTAAAAATCTATCTTAACTCTGGCAAGTTAGGCATTTCACAAAGAACTTGAGAATTTTATAGTGAAATCCAGTGTTATGGTTCGTCATTAATCCCATCACTTGGGAGGCAGAGGCATGTGGATCTCTGTGCTTTCGAGGCCAGCTTGGTCTCCATAGCAAGTTCCAGGCCAGCTACGGCTACAGGGAAACCCTGTCTTAAAAAGACCAAAAAAGGAAAAAGATTTTGTGAAATCCTAAGTGTAAAGAAAGGAAAAAGCATTAGAACAGGTGGAAGGTCACTACTAACTTTTGTTTGAGGGTGCTTTTTGAGACAGGGCCTTACTCAGGAGGCCTTTCTGTCTTGGAACTTGCTGTATAAACCAGGCTGGCCTTGAATCACAGAGATCTACTTGCCTCTGCTTCCTGAGTGCTGGGATTAAAGACATGTACCACCATACCCTGTACTACTAGTTTTACATTGCTGTGACAGAGGGTACCTGAGATAATCAACAGGAAGAAAGATTTGTTTTAGTTAAAGGTTTCAGAGGTTTTTAATCCATGGTCAGTTACCTTATGGAAAAACACAATCATGGTCAGGAACACACCATAGAACAAAGCTTCTTACCTCATACCAACGAAAAGAGAAAGGGTGCAGGGTTCTAGAATACCCTTCAAGGTCATACCCCCCATGATGTAACTTCCTTCCAAGAGACCTGGGCTCCTAAAGGTTCTACTACACCACCAATGCCATAGACTAATGACCAAGACTTTAGCATTTGAGCTTTTTAGGGGATTATCGAGGATCCAAACCATAGCAGTCAGCTAGGATAGAAACAGCATCCTAGTGATGTAAAAGGAAATTAGAAAAGTAAATTAGAAAGGCTAAGCAGTTCAGTGTTCTGAATTATTTTCTTTCAGCTATGAAAGAATGCTGCTACAAAATCTTAGAATTGTTTTAAATAATGGACAATAATAGATGAGAAACAAGATCAGTCATGTATTAGTAATCATTGATATATGGGGCTCATTGTTCTTTGAATATGTATGAACATTTCCACTTTATATATTTAAAAAATAAACCTATATCTCAAAAATTAGGAATAAATTTAGTCCCTTAATTTTAGTAATTTTCTCCAGTTCAGTAGTTCTTAACTCATGCTCCTTGACATGCTTCAAGAGGGGCTTAAACATTAATTTCTTTCTCCTAACCTTGCCTAGGGCCCCCCCCCCAAAAAAAACCCTGAGATTGAGGCAGGTTCTTACTGTGTAGTCCAGGTCTGCCTTCTTGAACTTGGATCCTTCAATTTCCCCAGTGCTTGTATTATAGGCATGCACCACCATAACTAACAATAGAATCTCATTAGCTAGTTACATTATTTTCTGATGTCTGTATTCCTTAATTAAAGTTAAGGCAGTCATATTTGTCTTTTAAATTCTTCAAACATGGTTTGTGAGATAAAATAGTAATCATTTCAGCACCAGGGTTAGGTTTTCAGTAGAAAAATATTGCTATTTTTAAAAAAAATTAGAATCTTTTCAAATCAGATGGCATAATAAACATATAAAAAGGTAAAGTTATCCAGGTGGAGGCTCACAAACCAATTAAACAGTGAGACTGAAATTTGAATCCTGCTGGGCACATATGTATTGGTTTCGTTTTACGGACATGAGGGGGAAGATTTATTGAGGGTAGAGATAATTTTTTAGAAAAAGGGTGACCTCGTTACCCCTTTCAGATTCAAAATTCAGCAAAGGATTTTGATAAATAAGATTTTTGCCTGCTTTTATATTTTTCCAGATAACGTAGATTAGTTCAGGTTGTTTTTCTGCCCTATTTGGAATAGTTTTGTCGCTGTGTTGACTGACCTGCCCTCTCATTGGTGAACTTTAGTGACCCACCATTCTTTTCCTTCTAGTTCTTTGAGGAATTTGTTCTTGAAACTCAGTAGCTCCTAACCTTAACTGATAAAAATTTCCAGTAACCCTAACTGATAAAAATTTCCACTGTTGTAGTATAGTGGTGAGTTCAAGGCCAGCCTGGTCTACATAGTGAGTTCTAGGACAGCTGGGGCTACAGGGAGACCCTGTCTCAAAAAGACAAAAAAAATTCCACTTTTGTTAGTTTAGTGTTCTATCTACCACCTTACTAATGCCATACCTGTGAATCCCAGCTTGAGGAAAACAGCTGCTTCATAGGGGCTCTAGCCTTACCAGTAACTGTCCTGCGGGAAATGAATAGAAAAGCTGTGTTGCCAAAGCAACTGGTCTGAATTTTTAAAAAAAAGAGCGCCCATTTACAGCAGTGTTAAACCAGTGAGAAATTGAGATCCAAATGACAGATGAATTGCTAGAGAGTGTATGAAATGTGTTAAACTTGCTAACTGAAACTATTTCTACTTAGATGGAATCTGCCTGTGTTTCCATTCATGAAGCTCTGAAGTCCGTCATAGACTATCAGACTCATTTCCGACTGAGAGAAGCTCAAGGTCGAAGCCGAGCAGAAGATCTAAATACCAGAGTGGCCTATTGGTCAGTGGGAGAAGCCCTCATTCTTCTGGTGGTTAGCATAGGGCAGGTGTTTCTTCTGAAAAGCTTTTTCTCAGATAAAAGAACCACCACAACTCGAGTTGGATCATAACTACGTTTTCAGAATCAATGCACCATTGCCACTGTAATATTAGTGTCCTCTAATTTTAGGTATCGAAGAACTTAATAATGGCAACATTTTGAAACCCTACTCATACACTTGTTGGGAGAGATGTACAATGCATATCCCCACACTGGAAAGGACACCTTTTTTTATTTGTAAAGGTGGAAAAACTTTGGAACTTGCTTTTGGCTATTCATGTGAATATTCAACACCAATGATCTACTTTTTTCTTGGTTGTTTATACCTACTCTTCATACGCTAAACTTTGGTATTCTTATTCCTTTTAACCATTTAAAAGTAATTTTCTTAATAGGTAGTTAATACTTTAAAAAAATCTTAGATTTAATGTTTGCGTGTGTTATGGAGGAAGAAAACTGCCTTTTAATTGTTTATAGAAAATAAAGTTGTGTTTTTAAGAAAACCAAATGTGATTAACTGTAGCCAAGCCCTATTCTGCACTGCTTAATTTTATGGGGGAAAATACTCTACCATAAAAATGTTAGTTACTATTGATAGATTTTTTAATTGATATATCATGATATAATTTATTTCTTGCTGGTTTGGAAAATGTACAATTTTTTGGCTTACTCTATGATTTATAGCTAGCTATGCTTTTTATAGAAGCATTACTACCATACAGAAAATAGCATAATAGAGGCTGTATAGACCTTAAAAATCAGACTGTTGTAACTGTTAAGATAAAGAATATTTTGAGACACTACAATGGGGGAAGATGAAATGGAAAAATATATGGTGAGTTTGCACTCATTGCACATCCAGTGCTTTTACAAAGAAAAGGTGATCTGTGTCATTTTAACATTCTAAGATTGACTAGTTCTTGCTCATATGTGACTTTTAATATCCTCAAGTCATTCCCAGCTTAAGTTGACAGTTGTTATATTAGTATCACATAAGTGCCATACATTTTATCCTCATGGATGTGATGCACTGAGAAGTTAGTTTTTGTCTCTGTTCATTTTACTTTGTTTCTACAGTCTCTGGAGTAGTCCTAAAATTATTTTAAAGTTTTGTATGCTATGAGTGTTTACTATTGATAATCTTTATTGGTTTGTACTGTTTGACTTAGGCCTTGTGTGGATTAAGCTAATTGAAATAAGACTTTTTTTAAGTATTTCAGAATAGAATACAAGATAATGGAAAATTGTATAGATAGATTGGCTTTTCTGCTGTTTTTAAAAAAAGAGAGGATGACAGTTGCTTTTCATCCATGCCTCTCTTCACCCAAAGGTGATGAGTACTAAATGAGACTTTAACTTATGCTACCATAGGAGACTGATGACTAGCAGTTCTAGTCACTTAACCACTTAACTAGAAGTTAACTTAATTTTAAGCCATCTTAAAATGCACACACACACACTTCTTCATGTAAGAGCAAAACAAATACAAGTCGTCTTGCTTGTTTAGGAGCAAACAGGTTTTCAGCCTTGTGGGATTCTTGAAGACCAAATAGCTGCTCCCTAAACATTTACAAATGGATTAAGAAGAAAAGTTTGAGATTTTGCAGATTTATCTCTTTGCGTTCTTATATTGAAGTTGTCCTGCAGCTTTTAAATATCTTGTTGATTTATATGTGAACATTTTAAGCACCAATGTTAATGTGATTGATAAGCATGGGCATATGTAAAATGTCCATTTTTGATTGCCCGTGGACTCTTTGTTCAGATATTTATACCATATTTAAATAGTCAGGTATAGATTTTTGCCAAATTTGGCCTAAATAATGCACTCATTTAATCTGTGCCTCTCAAAACTTCATGATACTAAACTATTATCATAAATCTTTTTTTTTTTTTCCCTCTCTTTTTAAGTCAAGGTCTCCCTGTAGTCCCAGCTGGCCTTTAACTCACTTTGTAGACTAGGCTGGCCTTGAACTCGGAGATCTGCCTGCCTCTGCCTCCTGAGTGCTGGGATCAAAGGCGTGCACCACCACGCCCAGCCAGCATTAATCATTTTTAATGAAACTATTGAGGTATATTAAAACTTGAAGTCACCAGTTACCCATTGTCAGAAATAGTGTGGGTTTAGCTTTGTCTCTATGTAGCTGGCCAAATTTTGACAGCTGTGTACTCAACTGGTATGGATATATAAGAAAATACATACACGTAAATGCTAAGTAATATTTTTTTTCTTCCCCCTATGACATAATTTGTAGCTTGTCTTTTTTCTGTAATCCTTGTATAATTTGTTGCAGCAGTTTGAATTTCCAAAATACTTAATTTGGTCATATAACTCAATACATATTTGAGTATCATAGTTGTATATATTTTTTAAGTAGAGTACACAATGGAAAGTAACTTGACACATGAATTTATACTACAGTTTCAACTGAGTGAAGATACGTTTTGAGATATCACTTTGCTAATCTAAACATTCTTTTTTTCTATTAAAAATATGGTTTGTGGTTCATAACTTTTCATTTGGGCTTGATAATCACCTTTGAAAATTACAGTGGTCTGAAAAACAATTTGACAGGTATCATTTATATCTCTCTGTACTACCCTTTTTTTTTCATTTCAGTTTCTAAATGTAACATTTATAGTTAAATAGGACAAAGCAGACCCTATGACTTTTTGTTTTCAAAAAATTAATATATAATTCAGAGGGTTTTTCATTTATTTTTGAAAAAAAATTCTCTAAATTAAAGATGGTTCCACAGAATCGAAACAATCAATTTCTTGTAAAATAAAGTTTTAAAAAGTTCAGCAAACTGACTTCATTTGTTTCTATCAGGATTTAATTCCTTCTGAAGCTCCTTGTAAATGTACAACTTACAGTGCAGTTTAGCAACGGTAGTGATGATTTGTTATTTCATAGACATCCTAGGGACTGACCATAAAAGCTTGTTAAAGAAAGGGAGCATCACTGCCTGATTATCTTCTCTTTGTAGTCTTCACTGAAAATGTGTCTGGAAGACAGAAAAGCCATCAGTTGCTCCAAAAGGATCTTAATTTTTAAGTAAATTATCCTAGGTAATATAAAACTCAGTTGCATTAATAACTTTTTAGTTTTTTTGGTTGTGGTGGTGGCGGAGGAGGAATTTTTTTTTTTCTTTCTTTCCCTTCATAGAGTAGTCAGATGAGACAGCCTAGCTCATGGGTAGAACTCTGGAAAAATAACAATCCATATAAATGAACATTTATTGAATACTTAGCCCTGGGTGATGTGCTGTACTAAAGTATTTTATTTTACTGACACATTTACTTCTGCAACTGCCCTGTGAACTAGAGGTATTACTCCCATTTTACAGGTAAAGCATAGAGAAGCTGAGAAATCTGCTCATCTCTCATAGTTAGAGTTTGAGTGTGAACCTTGGCAGGCAGATTCCAGAGCCCTCTTCCTCAGCCTCGGCAAACATTAAACTATTTTGGTAGCACTATAGGTTAATCATGACTGTGCTTCAGCTTTGAGCTCCTATCAAGCTAAATCATGATTGTGGGTTCTTGCACAAGTGATTTTATTAGCTGTATTTATTTCCTACCAAAGTAATAATACTCAGTTTAATTAAAATAGTTATAAAACACTTAGGACTAGTGCCTCATGTATTTAAGTACTGCGTATCTTTTTATCCACTCTGGTCCTGGTTTCTTTCATTCTCAAAGTTTTTATTGTGAGTCATTGAATAGAATCTTAGTCTTACACAGTATGTAACAAACATGGAAGTGTGTGGAGATCTATTAACAACATCATAACCTCCTAGAAGTTTTAAAAAATGAAGGCATTCTGACTAAGAATAAAACTATTTAAGCAGATGAACTAATACGAGTAAAAGGCTTACTCCTTAAGGAGTTGAACTTATCCTCCCACAGCAGATGCATGATCTTGTGGCAGTGCCATAGCCAAGTGACTTCATTTCTTGTTCAAGGATATGGAGTGTTCCGGCCCTTGTTGCTACAAACTGAAAAGTATGTTCTTTAACTTTGCTAAAAATAAAGGTGATATTTGATGATCTGATGTGACTTCATCTTGGAACCTACAAATTTGGGAAGAAAATTACAGATATGTTAACCAAAGTTTTCACTCTACATTCTTCAAATTTATTCTTGAAGTAGCATCATTAGGAATTAGAATCCAGATGTATTAGAAGTAATGCTCATTTGGCATCTGTTAGTGCTGGTGATTACTAACAATCATTTTTAACAGTAAAGACATCAAAATGATGAGCTTTCCTCTAAAAAAAATAAAGGGATCAACATTTTGGTGTTTTGTAAATACGTTTTTAAAGAAATGTGTATTCTGCTTAACAGTTTTTTTTACTGGTGAACTGTATCTTAAAATAGAAGAGTATATTCAACATGTACAATGTAAAGAGAAAATTGTAAAGCACAATGCTCAAGCTGAGAATTAATATTTGGTCCAGTGGGATGGCTCAGTGTGTAAAGGCAGTTGCTGCCAAGCCTGAGTTTAATCCCCAGTATCCACAGGGTGGAAGAAAAGAACTGACTCCCAAAAGTCTCTTCCTCTATACATACATGGGCATGCCCACACACATACACATACATAATCATACAATAAATTATCTTTTAAAGGGGGGGCAGAGAGATGGCTCTGCAGTTAAAGAGTGCCTACTGTTCTTGCAGAGTTCAGTTCCCAGCACTCAAGCAGCTCAAAATTGCCTGTAACTCCAGCTTCAGAGGATCTGATAACCTCTTCTAGCCTCCACAGGCACTACACACTGCACGTGTGTGTGTGAACCCACACACAGACACAAAATAATTGAAAATCAATATATAATAAAAAAAAAATACGTGTATGCTCTCATGACCACATCCCTGAGCCTCACCACTAATGGTAATGATCTTGTAATGAAAATCATTGTCTTTGTGTTTTTACCAGTTAGATGTACTAATTCTTAAGCCTTCTATGTTTAATTTTCAAATCAAAACAAAGCTATGCTTTTATAGACACAGAATCATGTGCTTACATGTACTGACAATGTCAGCTTGCCCTTAGTGTTCCTAAATGCTTATTTATTCTTGTGCATGCCTTCTCTCTGTGTGCTTTTCATCAGTCAACAACAGTTTGCTGATTATTGTGATCTGCGGGCTGCACTTTGTGTGGTACTCATTATCTGCATTCCCTAACATAGTCTAAAAAAGTCAGGCAGAAATAACATTACCAAATGCAATTTAATAATGTATTCTGTTTACTAAATAGGATAGTACATGCTTTCTTTTGTAACTTTTCATTCAGCACTGAAAGTTATCCATTGTGTTGGTATATTTTCTGTTGCTTTAGCAAAGTACCTGAAGCTGAGTACTTGGAAGGTTTATGTACCTCAGTTTAGGAGGCTTGAAAGTTCCAGATCAGGTGACCCCATTTGTTAACTGTAGTAAAGGCTGTATCACAACATGACAAATAGCATCATGGTACAAATATGCATGAGAAAAATACACCAGGAGCTAGAGCTGAAAAGAAGATAGCCTTTTTCTTTTGAAAATAGCTTACTTGCCCAGGTATGGTGGTGCACGCCTTTAGTCCCAGCACTTGGGAAACAAGTCTTTGAGTTCAAGGCCAGCCTAGTCTAACTAGTGAGTTCCAGGCCAGCTGGGGCTACAGGAGGACCCTGTCTCACTGTCTCAAAAAGAAAATAGCTCACTAATGCTAGAGCCAGTGGGAGTTGGGTGTCCCCATTAAAACCACCTTACATCCAAGTGCAGTTCCCAATTGCCTTATCTAGTATCCTGTTGTTTAAGATCTCTGTATGTTTTAATGTGTGTGTTTGCATGCATGCATGTTCTCTACATGCATGCCTGGGGCCTGAGGAGGCCGAAAGAGGGCATCAGATCCCCTGCAACTGAAGTTATGGATGTTTGTGAACCACCATGTGGATGCTGAAAACCAAACCTGGGTTCTCTGCAAAAGCAGCAAATACTCTTTAATCTTGAGCCATCTCTCCAGCCCCTCCCTCTAGTATCCTATTTCCTAAAGGTTCCATCAGCTCAAAACTACATTAAGAACAAGCACATCAAAACCATAGTGTTCATGTCTTGATGCGTGTGGTGTTTCTTTACTATGTAGTAGCTCACATTAGTATACTTCAGCTGGTCTTTCCTACTATGATGGTATTCGGGTTTTTCCAAATCTTTGCTGTTATGAAAAATGCCACTGTGAAGAACCTTATCTATTCCTGTTGCACACGATCTGAGAATACAGCTATGAATCCACTGATGAATCATCAGACCTGTTTTTTCAACTTTACTAGGTAGTATTTTCCAGAATAGTTTTGTATCAGTGCAATCACCAGTAGTGTTAGATTTCACATTTGATACTTTCCAACTAGAAAACATTTTTTTCGAAGTATTTTTATTTTTGTGCATTTTATACAAAACCTCTTAATCATCTTTATATCCCCTCCCCAATCCACCCTCCAGTAGCACTCCCACCAGATTTCATGCATTTTGTCATTTATGTTATGGCCTATCGAGTCAAGGTAGTGTACCTAGACACCACTCAGTGCAAGTTCATTCACTGGGGTCTATTCAACCTATCTGGAGTCCTTTAAACCTTTTTTTTTTTTTTTTTTTTAAGAATTTTTTTTTTATTCTGTCCTTTAAACTTCTTTAAAGGACTCCCTCACCCAGCAGTAATCAACTGCCAATAGTTGTTCAGCTAAGGTAGGGGACAGCTGCCCATTTCCCCAACCAAATCCTTGTATGTGAGTATATATCCTGATGTAACTGCAGGAGCCAGGAAAATGGAAAGAACCCGGGAGGTAAAGGAAAGAAGGAGCCTGAGAGAGGACTGCAGGAGACAGGTGTTACCAGAGGGAAAACGGAGAGAGTTGTGCAAGGAATCACGGGGGTAAAGGGGAAGAAAGAGCTAAAGAGGACCACAGGAGACAGGCATTATCAAGGGAAAAATGGAGGTACTTTAAATGGGGAGGGAGGGTTGGAGAGAGAAATAATGTCTAGTTGGTGTGAAAAATCAGGGGGAAGTATATTAGCTCAAAAGCCTACTGAAAAATTACACATATGTACATATGTCCATGTGTATAGCCGAATGCTATATTACAAGAAACAATGCCAGATAGGAGAAACCTCCCTTTGACTTGTTGGCCAGGGTAGTCTAAGAGACTCCCAAAATTACACAGGCTATTGTCACAGCCCTTGGTTGCTTCCAAGAACTTGGAGGTAAGACCCTATTGCTGAAGACAGGACATAACTAAGAACAAAGGATTTGGAGCAATGCAACTGATCTGGAAACCACCTCCTTGAAGGCTAGCTTTCATAGTTTTGGAGGACTCTCTGCAAGCTGCTAATTGAGGACGTTAATCGGTGCTCCTACCCCAGCTTTAAGGCTTGATAACAATGACTGGCACAGCAAACTACATTGGGGCAGTAGTGGCACTTTTATCTTGGGGGTAATTAGACTTAATTGGACATAAAGCCCACTCAGTGCGGGGAACTCCTGTGATACTGCAAACAGCCAAATATACATGGCTGGAGAGGTCATGGATAAACCCTAAGGCTGTCACATCCATAGACAAATGAAATTTCTTACTCAGCTAAATATGGATCTTCACAGACAAGTATGCCAGTCCCCATTCATCAAAGAAGCTGCTTTTGCAACGGATGAGGACTATTACAGTGTTCCAACTGCTCACACATACAAAATAATTGTCTGTGCAATACCCAACCCTAAATGACACATCTACAATAGAACCTCTATACCTAAGACTTATGGAACATACTGGAACGGGTAGAGAGAATACCAATGCATCTCTCAACTTTCATCAATGAAGCCCCCTCAGAGAACAGAGAGCGATGAACACAAAGTGTAGAGAATAAAGGTCTGTAGAGTGTGGGTCCTTGGACAGTACTCCACCCACCCAGGGCTCAGGGACCACTGTGGAGGAAAAGGAAGATTTTAAGAGCCAGGGTAGGCGGTACATGACCACATGTAAACAGTCTTACAGGCTCCTGGGACCTTGCTTACATGAAACGAGCAATCATCAGCATGCATAGGACCCTTGCAAACACAGGCAGACCAAAACCAGGCAGAAATGGGCAGAAAACAGATTTTTTAAAAAATCTGGGCCATGTGTGGTGGTGCACACTTAATCAGCACTTAGGAGGCAGAGGCAGGTGGACCTGTGAGATCAAGGCCAGTCTAGTCCACATAGTGATTTCCAGGCCAGCTGGGGCTACAGGGAGACCCTGTCTCAAAAAAAAACTTGGTACAAATTGAGTGTTCTTAATGAGAAATCTGAAATGCTCCATTGTTCAGTTTGAGCTTTGGGATTTCCAAATGAGGGACTTTTAGATTACAGGTGCACAAACAGTAAAGTCTGCGAATATTTCAAGGGCTTAAAAGCACTGAAATTGGGCTGAAGAGGTGGCTCAACAGTTAAGAGCCCTGACTGTTCTTGCAGAAGACCTGGGTGTGGTTCCCAACATGGCAGTTGCCTGAAACTCCAGTTCCAAATGATTTGTCATCGTCTGGCCTCTGCAGGTATTGTACGATACAGGTGCTCTTACATAAATGCAATAAATCGAATAATTTTTTAAAAAATTTTACTGAGCTTTTGTGCATTTCATACAATAGTTCTTAATCAAATTTAGACTCCCCTCCCCCATCCATGTCCCCCATCCCCCACCCGACCTCATGTATCCACCATACATGTTAAATCCTATCCAGTCAAGTTCTTGTAAGCAGGTATCTGTCAGTACAAATTCATCCAGTGGAGTCTAATCAGCCTATCTAGAGATCATAAGTAAGGTCTACTCTCCCTCACCCAGTAGTAAGTAATCAGTTTCCAGTAGTTAACAGACTAAGGCTGACCTGCCACCCATTTCCCTTGCTCTACTCTGGACCTTTCTCTGATTGAATTGGCATGGGTCCTGTACTCGATGCTACTACCATTGCCACAAGTTTACATATGCAAACTTCAGGAGCCTGAAAGCCTCTGCTTCCCTATGCTCATGAACCAGCCCTGGCTCAAATCTT